ATCACCTAGACGTGCCTGGGGAGACAGACAGGCACTGGGCTTCCAAAGTCACAGCTTTGAAACCCTATTTACCGTCCTACTCTGTATGTGTAGGGCCACCTTGAGACAGCAGCTAACAACACAGAGCTAGTAAGAACCACCTTTGAAAGGACCATAGAATACCACACGAGATATACACCATACAATTATAAGCCTAACGCTTTTTAGACTATCCTCAATCTTGCCTGAATTATTAATATGTATTCACAGAAAACAAGACAGCGACAACGATGTCTCTAAGGTAAACCAGACATACGTAAACCATAGATGTGTGAGTGGATTTTGAGTTTGCACAGAAGTCTAGCCCCAATCTAAGAACATTAGTTCTTATGACATAGCCCTGCTTGATGCTGGCCCTCATGAAGAGATCAATGAAGATAGAGCAAAGTGTGGCGAAGACACTAGATGGTGCCCCGCTTTCAGAAAGAATAGCTTCTGGGTCTTAAAGGCTTGTTTTCAAACAAGCAGCCATCTAAGTGAGACTTCAACTAATTCCACATAGAAGAAGCACATCAGCCTATGTGAGCCAAGGATTGTAATTAATATAAGCCAACTCTAAAGGAGGGAACTGTATCAGAGTCTTAACTGTGAATGCCTAGTGTGTGGAAGGCTATGATGACATTAGCAAGGGCCACACATGGATTAAGCCTCCAGTGAATACCCTCTGTTCATTGTAAAATCAACTATGGCAGATATAATTAGGCCAAAATGCAGTATCTTATCATTTGATCTCCCTTTTGACTGATGTTAAAGCTATTTCAGTTAAAAAGAATAGTGAAGGGGGATTAAGGTGGGTTAAGCCCCTGGTGAATGCCCTCTGACCATGGGCCAGGGATGTGAACACCCTTGCTAATACGCAGAACACATTGGAAAATAGACTGTTCCCAATACAGTTAGGTTAAAATTTAGCACCCTGTATCATGTGATCTCCCTTACAAGCTATTCAAATTTATTCTAATATTTTGTGCTTTCTTTTCGATTAAGGTTTTAATGTATTTTACTCTGCTATTAGCTGTTGGTTTTTTTTTTTTAAATTTTCTGTACATGAAATCCAGGATAGGTAAATCTATAGAGGCAGGAATGGATCAATGCTTCCTTGTAGGATGGCAGGTGCCTGGCTGCATAGTGCTTACTCTCTGCAGGAGGAAGACTCGCTTGCTACTCCCGTAAACAGTTTTGGTCTCCGAAACCACAGGAGTGCACTATGAATCAGCATGGACTTGAGGGCAGGGAGGTTTTGGTTTGTTTGTTTTGGGAGTATGGCAGAGGAGGTTGGGAGGGAAATGGGGAGCTAATTAACGAGTACAAGAATGAAGACAATGTTCTAAAAACCGATGGTGGTGATGACTGTACAGCTTTTCTTGATGGGACAAAACTATTGAATTGTATGATATGTGAATTATATGCCAATAAAATTGTTAGAAAAAAAAAAGGAGGCTGAGGTAGTTAGTTTATTGTGCCAACCTGGTCAATAAACACATGTGGGACTAATTGAAGGGCGGAGGGATAAATGGCTCAGTGAGCCTCGCCTTTCTCGTTCTTGGGTGTCTTGCTCTCTGATGGTCGGACCAGGGTGCTGCTGCCTTAGCCAGTTCCCTGCTTCAGCTGGAAAGGCTCACTTCCTGCAAGACATCCCTGAGGAGAAGCCACATGGACCTACCCTGATGCAGCCCTGGTTGCTGGAGCAGCCGTGTGGAGACCCCTGCCAGCGCTGAGATGCTTACACATTCACTGATTCGGCTTTCCTCCTGCAGTCGACATCATTGCGTGTGCTTTGTGAGATGGAGGAGGACTTTGTGGATTGGTGTTGGAAATACGGGTTAATGTTGGACTTGTGGGCTTGGGCAGCACTGGGTTGGGATGTTTTCTTGATGCACACTTAACCTTTATATAAAACTCTCTCTTATACGTGAGTTTCTGTGGATTTGTTCCTCCACAGTACCCAGACTAATACAAGGTCCAATCAGAAATAGCAGCTTCCAAAGGGCTCTGTGGGCCAGTGTAAGTCAAGGCAGAGCAGCTGACTCAGCAGGTTAGTGGGAACTATCTTTTAGGATTCCTAAAGGGCAATCTTGAGGGATTTATTTTTTTTTAAGGACAAAGGACTATCACAGAGGCTTAAAAGACGCTTTCAGAGAATTGGCTACATGTGTATTAGATTAAAAACTAACTTAAGCTACCTATAGCTATTTCAAATGTATCACGAAATGCTGTACAATATTAGATTATATAAGGGTGAGTCAAAAAGTAGGCTATAAAATCTTTGAGTTTGGGGGACACAAAGAGGTCGGAAGGGACAAGATTAGGGCTGTAGGGTGGACGGGGTAAAGTTTCCCTCAAAATTCTCCCAGGACAGGCCTTGCTGCCCTCGAAGGATGAGTGGGTAAACTACTGCGATGGTGGGAAACACTCTTTGGTGCAACTCCCTGGCCTTTTTGTCACCAATGCAATTTTCTTAAAATGTCTTCTTAGTAAGTCCCCCTGATTGTCCCATGTTCTTCGAGAAATTTATCCAGGGGGCCCCTTTGGGATCTCCCCCAAAACAGCTGTCACAACTTTCTGAGCTAACCTCTGTCTTGAGTTTAAGTGGCCCAGCAAATCCACTTGAAGCTACTGGTCTTGAATGGACATTTTTTTACAGACCCCTAGAAAGACTAAGACGAACGTATGACCGACGGGATTTGTCTGTGGCCCCAGCACATGACATAAACCCAAGGGCCTGTGCATCTGAACCCAGTCACCATCCTTTTAACAATGACCCTTTTTACAAAAGAAACAAGACAAATAACACCGTGTCAACTTAGGAGGGTGGGGAGTAAGGCAGATAAGGAGATCAATGGATAGAAAGACAGACCAATAACGCCCATCAACGGAGATGGTTCTCAAGTGATCTATGCCGATTCTCTAAAAAACCCACAAACAAAACACTTGCAAGAAAGAAGCAGCTGCCTCTGTTCTAAGGAGATGTCACTGACGTCATGATCTGCAAGCTTTTCCTTTCGATGAGGGACATTTTCCTCTCCTTAATTGTATCCACTACTTTTCACTACCTCTTAGGTCTCTTAGGGAGAATCCTGTTTCCCTGGCTCCCCCTTCAATTACTTCTTCAACCCTGCCTGTTTTCTTCCCCCTCCCTTGAGTGGCTTCAATCCATTAGTCATCATTTGGCTCTAACCTAGAGATTTAATATTTTTAAAATCCTTCCTTAAAAGTCAGTTTGTCCCATTTCAGCTGGGGTTGCATTCTCTTTGTTTTCTCCTGTCCATCTCCTATTTTGAAAAATCTCACCTTCCTTTGGGCTTGCGTCTGCTTACAACAGCCTATTATTATGTTTAAATCTACAAAGTAAAACACCACCACCACCAGGGATATCTCATTTCGATCCCTTCAATTTTAAGACCTAAGAGCACTCAAATAGAAAAGATATATAGTTTTAATGAAAAGTATTAGATTCATATTCCTACGACATAAAAACATTTAGAAATACTAAATAAAACAAAAATAATAGTCTGTTAAAGGAAAGCGTTCTGGTAACACATATAAAAGCAGGTTCTTTTTGTCAAACTGAGGATTCTTATAATTAATTATACCCAATGAGAAAAAAAGGGAGCCCTGGTAGTGCTGTGGGTTAAGGTGTTGGCCTGCTAGCTGGAAAGCTGGGAGTTCACATCCACACACCACTCAGCGAGAGCAAGATGAGGCTCTCTGTTCCTGTACAGATGCACAGTCCTGAAAACCAGATAGGGGTTTGCTATGAGTCAGAATCAATTTGAGGGGGCTGGGTTTTTGTTGAATGAGAACCAAGGGTGCCCTAGTGGCACAAAGGTTGAAAGACTACTAAGCAGAATGCTGGCTGTTTGTGCCCACCCCTGTGATAAAGGAAAAGATCTGATCATGTGCTCCTGTAATGACAATGGTGTCAGAAACCCTCTGGGGCAGGTCCACACTGTACTCCAGCGCCACCACTGTGGGCTGGAACCATGTCAACAGCACACAACAACATTTAGAAAAACAAACAAACTGAAGAGCAGAGGATTCCTTTAACCATGAGATAAGCAGGGAAAAAGGAGATAGAGGCACTGAGAAGAAATCTAAGTTCTCTGAACAGTTAACAGTCGAGTCCACTCCTACAGAAAATGTATACAGGTCATACTTATTAATTTATGCATAATATATACTAGATATGTATTCATTTTAATATCATACAGAAGTGAATATTAAAAAAGCAAACTCACCACAATTATAGAAATCGTGACTCATTTACTAAAAATCACACCGATTCCTTACACAGAGTGATGGGCTTGAAGAAACCCTTATTAACAAAGATAAATAGTGGCATGTGAGGTAGGGGCAGGGGGCTGGCTACCACTAAATATTTAATTTAAGCACACACATACTCTTTCTTTGGTGTTGAAATACCAATGCTTTGATTCCCAATAATAAAAAAATCCTGATTATAAGCTTTCAAATTATTCAAAGATACGAAAGATTGTCTATATTTCAGCCTAATTCAAAGCCAGCAATGAAATCATTTCTTCTTCTTCCAACTCAAAGTATGTTTAAGACCAGGGCATCTGATAGAAGTGGTATTTTCAATCCAACCAATTTTAGAATATAAAGTGCTTCTAGCAATATTTGGATACATATAATTTGATTTCGAAAAATTTTATAAACTTGAACACTGTAATATATATATATATATATATATATATACACAAACACAAAAAGCATAATTTGTAATTTTAAGAAAATAATATTTTGTTGGAAAAAAATTTTGTCTTCCCAAAAAGAGACAAAAATGACTAACTTTTATTTCCCAAGAGAATTATGCCACTTTTATACAAAATTACAGTCACCACAAATTGCTTTCAACAATTCCATTGCTTCTTCATTTAACCACTTGAAAATCAAAATTCCTTCAGATTATAAATATAACTCTTTATAACTCTGTTATTACGTACTGTGAATGGGGAGAGGGGGCCAACCTTGTGGCCGTAGCGTCGAATGGCCTCTCTGATGTGGCAGGGCTGGATGGCATCGCTGGGAGCCTCAACACCACAGGCCGCAGTGCTCTGCGACAGAAAGACACAGAAATTGTTACTAAATCAAAAACACACAGCAGGACTCCAGTGTCTAAAATATGAAAATAAACCTTTATGAAATAGACCGTTTTCCCCCTCGGGCGCACATCACAGCTGCCATAAGCTACATCTAAGAAATAAAAAGTAAAATGTGCTCCATTAACAAATCAGAGATGACTTCAACGTGACCCCTTCCGCACCGGTCTCCCAAATGCAATTTTTATGCCCACAGTATTTCACCTGGGCCTGTACGTCAAGGCACAGGAGAACAGAGCCGCTGGCGGCAAGGAAATCACAGGGGCTCGCTGGAACAGCCGCAGGAAAGTCTCTCATTTTTTTAAAACACATTTTAAACATTTATTACTATAAATTGTGTGTGTGTGTGAGAGAGAGAGAGAGAGAGAGAGAGAGCTTTTTGACATATTTCTAAAATAACTCGAGAGCCATCAATTCTAAAGTGGAAAATATAAAAGTTGCTATATATTTCTTGACTGGGGTCTGTCAGGAATGATCCTTTCAACTGGGTTCCTGATTTTCTAGGTGTCCAGGGAGGGGTGGGGAGCTTTCTGCTCCATG